GCGAGAGGATGTTTCGAGCGCCGGACCAAAAGATTGAGCGTTGTGGTGCGAGGTGGTGGTGTACTGCGCGTGAAGTCATTGTGGCCGACGCTCGGCTGGGTGAGTTTTACGGGGCAGCATGCAGCGCCCCCCCCGCAGCCACTGTCTGTTTCCGAGTGCCCTTATGCCTTATGCCCCCGATGCCGTGAGGAGGATAACTGATGAGTTTCATGAGTCCCACGTGCTCGTCTATTTCCCAGCTTGGTCCATGACGATGTGCACGAGATGCGGGCGTTGCTGCGCGGTCTGCCCCCGCTGCCTGAAAGGGAGGAATTGCGGGGAAACCCCGAAGTGAGTGGAGAATCTCGCGAGGTTGAATCGCGGCCAATTCTCTGGGGAAGGGCCGCCTCGGCCAATCCTGTTGGCCATTGCGGGGCGGGGGAGGCTGGGCGTCGTCGTCGCCCAGTCGCCGTTGGAAGGCAGGCCCCGCCCGCGGGCCTCTGCCCCTCTGCCCCCCGCGCCTTACGCGCGGATGGGCTGGCGACAACGTCGCCACACAGGACCCGCGCCCGCCATCGTGCGGCCGAGGCACCGCGGGGCCCGTCGGGGGGAGGTAGTGGACGAGGTTGGGTCGTTTTGGCCCCCCTCTTTGTTTTTGCTTTCCTTTGTGGCGAGGGGGCCTCCATCCGGCAACATGTTGTCTTACAGCTCGTGGGCATATTGCTTTTGCTTTCGCTGGGGCCTTTGAAAAGGCCTGGACAGTGATCCGCAAGCCAGTAACTCCATTAATTCCTCCTGCTCCTCCCGCGCCTGCCTCGACGTAGCGCATGGAAGAGCAGTCGTCGTGGCCTTGAGGGTCGGCGCGTGCAGGTGACGCAAACCACCGACTCCACAACGGAGCGTGGAGCAGCGGTGGTCCTTGATGAGCTTCCCAATGTGGTTTCCTGCCGGTGCTGCTTGTTTGACGTGCGTTTGTTTGCTGCTGGCGGTAAGCGCTCTTTTCCGCCACTGCTAACGCTTGGGAGCCTCGGGCGTTCAGAGCTATGGGTGCGTCACCGTCGCTCTTGAAGTCTTCGCGCTAGCGCTTGGGAGCTTCGGCGTTCAGAACTATGGTTGCGTCACCGTTCGCTTTTGCAGTCTTCACGTTCAGATGGTCGTACGTCATCTCGACCTTGGTGGGGCTTTCTTCTTGGTTTCTGGGGCCTCCTCCTCGTCCTCCTCATTATCCCCCTCCTTCTTCTCCTTCTGTTCCTTTTCCTCCTCCTCCTTGTCCTCCTCCTTCTCTTCCTCCTGTGCCCCTGGATCTTTCATCTGCTCGATCTCCGAACGCCAATCGTGGACGCTATGGCGACGCTCCCCAGAAGGCGAGCATTCAATGGCCGTCGGAGCGTCCAGAGCGGCTCTTCTGGGCCTGCGATCTGCGTCTCTCCTCTCGTCCGCCCCCCTCTCACGGAGTCACGCTCGAAGCCACTTAGGGCGTCATGGGGGCCGGCTGTTTGGGGCCTGCGATATGGCTCTCGCCTGTCGTCCGCCCTCCCCTCTCGTGGAGGCAATCGTGAATCCACTTGGGGCCTCTTGGGGGCCGTTTGGGGGAATCTTGGGGCTTCTTGTCGGCTTCCTGGGAGCCTGTTGGGGCCCTCTTGGGCCGTCTTGCGTACCTTTTGGGCCGTCCTGGGGCCGTCTTGGGCCGTCTTTGCTTGTCTTCGGCGCCTCTTGGGCCGTCTTGGGCGGCTCTTGGGGCTGTCTTGGGTGCCTCTTGGGTCGTCTTGGGAGCCTCTTGGATCGTCCTGGGGCCGTCTTGGATCGTCTTGGGGCCCTCACGGGGGCATTGTGGGGCGATCTTTGGGGCCGGTCTGGCCGTCGTGGACGCGTCGGAGACGAGAAGCACAATCATGCCCAACATGTGCGTTTTCCTCTAAAAGAATGTGGCGATGTTTGCCTCTCAGGACTCTCCCAAGGAGTCCTCCAGGGCCGTCTTGGGAGCCTCCTGGTCTGCCTTGAGGGCCTCTGGGGCCGTCGGGGCGGCCCCTTGCGCGGGTCGGAGCCGTCTTGGGGCCATCGTGGCGGTCTCTTGAGCGTCTCGGAGCCGTCTTGGGGCCGTCGGGGCGCCGTCGCGAGCGGCTCGCGGCCGTCGGGGACTCCATGGGTGCAGAAACCGTTCTCGCACGCAGCGTTTCCAGCATTGTAGGAGACTGTCGCGAACCCGTGGAGTACATCCACGGTGTGCTGAGCCTGGGGTTCGCACGCCGTGGGGGAACAGCTCGTCGAAGTTGAACAGCTCGGGTGTCCCTGGGGCCGTGTCGGGGGCATGTTAGGCCCTCCTGTGAGCATGTGGAGCGTCTTGAAAGCCTCTTGCCGCTTTTGGGCGACAACCTTAGAAGAGCCCGAACAGGCTCCCACTGGGGGGGAAAATGCCCAAGCAAGGGCCAACAGGGGCTCCGTGCGGCCCTCCAGTAGGCACCCGACGGATGCTACAACAGGGGTAATGGTCTGAGGGCTTCCTGATTCAGGGCTGGAGGGGTGTCCACGATCCGAAGGTTCTTCAACGGGTGTGAGGCAGGCCGGAATCATCTATAGGGCCTGGTGTGAGGTCTGGGGCTTGCTTTGGGGCTTCCGAGCCCGATGGTCCCAACACCATCGTGCAAAAGAAATCCCACCAGCCCTTTGGGCGCAGGTGGTCTAGAGAGTTTCCTCCTTTACCCCTCCTTATTCCCCTTCGGGGAGGGGTTTACCCCTCCCCCTCCCCCCTCCCCTGGACCTCGACGGGGAGTTCCCCGACACGTTGGAGCGTCCAAAACGGCCTCGGCGAGGAAGCCAAAATCATTGGTTTTACTGGTGTGTGTTGCCCCATTTGGGGTTCCTAAGGGGGGGGGGGGGGGGGGGGCTAATTGATTCCCCCCCCTCCTGTGATCGATCTCCTCCAAGATGGCCCCAAGAGGCGCCCAGGAGGCCCCAAGAGGCCCCGAGGTGGCCCCAAGATGGCCCCATGTGGCCCCAAAAAGCTCCCAAGAGGCCCCCAGGATGCCCGCAAGAGGCTCCCAAGAGACACCCAAGAAGCCACCCCAGAGGCACCCAAGACGCTCCAAGAGGCCTCGGCGAGACTGCCAAAATCAATTATTTTACAAGGGTGTTGGCCACATTTGGGCCTCCTGGGGGGGGCACTGCTTCAGATGACTCCAAGAGCGCCTGGGAGAGCCGAAGATGACCTCCAAGATGGCTCAAAATATCCCAAGATGTATCCAGATGGCTCCCACGATGCTCCAAGAGGCCCCAAGCCCGCTTCAAGACGGCTCCAAGTGGCCAAAGAGCTCCCCCAGGAGGCCCCGAAGAGGCCAAATTCCGTCCAAACCCTTAGGAAAATCAATGTGTTGGGCTTTCTCGCCTTTTCGCTTCCGTTGGCCATCCGAGGCTTCACGATGACTCCAAGATGGCCCAAGAGGGCTCCAAGAGCGCTCCCAAGGCTCCCAAGAGCGCTTCAAGAGGGCCCCAAGAGGCGCCCAGGAAGCCCCAGGAGGCCCCAACAGGCGCCCCAGAGGCCTCCAAGAGGCCCCCAAGAAACCCCCAAGAGGCCCGAAGAAGCTCTCCGAGGCACCCAAGACGCTCAAAGAGGCGTCCGAGACCGCCAAGAGGCCCCCAAGACGCTCCAAGAGGCCTCCACTGGGGGACCCTTCCTCTGTGTGCTGCCCAATTCCCTGATCGAGGCACTTCCTCTGGGCATCGTTTCTGGATGGGCTGGTGGGGTTATTTTTTTTACAAGAAGCGTCTAGAATTGCTGATATCTGCTATCAATACCCCCAACTAGCTGGTTTCCGGGCGCACCACGTAGGAAATACCATGTGAACCAGTAATACAAACTAAGATGCGCAAGTTTATCTTTAAAAATCTTTGCTCGTCGAAGGGCGTTCCGACTTAGAACGTTAAAGTAATCGTCGCGAGGAAAACCAACCGGACAAGAACGGCGGAACGCCGAGTTATCCAGCGAGGGCGTGAGAGAACGTCTGGGTGAGCATGCGAAGCGTCGTCGTCGGCATCGCGTCGTCGTCGTCGTTGTCGTCGTCGTCGGCGCCGTGTTTGTCCGGAGGCTCTGCGGGGCTGTCATGGAACGCAACGCTCGAGGGCCTCCGCGGGGCTCCATCGGACGCCGCTGACGCCGCCGGTGTGGCCTCGGCGAGGCCCCCTCGGGGGCTGCGGGCGCGGCCAAACAAATGTGACTTCCTGTTTGGTTTTGTCTGGAGTCCGGAGGCTCTGCGGTGCTGTCCTGGTCTCCGCTGGGCCCCATCGGGGGCCGCAGACCTCGCTGGCGTAGCCTCGGCGAGGCCCCATGGGGGGGCCGCGGGCGCGGCCGGACACATTTGACATCCTGGTCGGTTTTGTCCAGAGGCTCTGCGGAACCGTCCTGGAACGCTCGTGGAGTCTCCGCTGGGCTGCGGTCTGGGGCCCTCGCGGGGGCCTGGGGGGCTGTTATGGAGCTCCTACGGTGGGCTGTAAGGGGGCCGAGGCCGTGCGGGAGCCCGCGTGGGACCGTCCAGGGGCTGTCTCGGGGGGCCCGTGGGGCTCCATGGGCCCCTCTTGGGGCTCTCTTGGGGCGTCTGTGGGCCGTTTGAGCCGTCCAGGAAGCCATGATGGAGGCGTCTCGAGCGAGACTGAGATCACTTCGGAGCTCCCACGAGCCGTCTGGAACGTCTCCGGGCCCGAAATGGAAAGAACCCGGAAAGTCATAACAAATACGAAAATATATTATGTTTGGCCAATCGGGCCGTCATGCAGGTGCTCTGTGGCCGTCTTGGAAATATCTTTCTGGTACTTTGGCCGCCCGGGATGTCTCGGGGGCAGCTTGGGTGGGACTCTTGGTAAAGCTTTCTGACGCTCTCTTGAGCGTCCAAGGCCGCCTTTGGCGGTCGAGGGCCGTCCCGGGAGCGCTGGCAACCGTCGAGGCCCGCCCCACGGGCGCGAGGAGACGCCCCGAGCCACTCTGTCTGAACACGCACGCGCTGACCCCCGTATTGTAGTATATATTACGCTGGCCTCTAACTTTAGGTCGGCCATCTCGCCGAGAAGCGACAGCGCTCGACGCCACTCCCTGCCTTTTCCGCATGTGTTGACGGTCCCGATGAACTGGCCGGGGCTGATTTTCACGCGAAGCTGTGACGCTTCGCGCAGAAGGTTCGGAGCAGCGCTCCACTGCTTTGCCATCCCCAACTTCTTCAGGCCCGCCTCGAGGGAATAGCCGTTGAATCGGCATTGTCGTCGGGTGTCTAGCACCCGATAAACATTGAACCGAAATGGCCTGCATCCAAACCCAAAAGCTCGAACCACAAAAAACTACAGGATCGCACGCCAGATCCTCGGAGATCCTCTTGATCCGCTGCCCTTTTGCGACTCTCTGTCTCCCCTGCGTTGCTGCACGAGGCATCGACGTCGATCGAACATCGTCGACCATTGAACTGCAGGCGAAACAGGGAGATGCGCATAGCGGGGGGGTAGCGCAAAAACAATCCAGACCCTCCCGATCCCTTCGGAACCCTCTTCCATGGCGATGTGGTCAGCAACACAAGCGCTGCTGGAAACGTGCGCCACTCTTCACTTGGCACGCGCGAGATGGGTACGAAATAACGGGCACGAGCGATTGCCCACAACACATGTTGCCTAACACAGACAACGGCCGCTGTGGGTAAACGACCTCATGTGTCGAATGGACGTCCACGAAGACGCTGACAACGAATCCTGCTCAACATGGGCAAAAAATGCTGTTGGTCTTCGTTACAATTACCGGGCACGGCCTAGACGACCCGTTCTGTGACGAACACCTTCCGTGACGTCCCCATCGCCCTCCAAACCATCCTCCGGCCGCATGCGTGCGTCGTGGGGCGAGGCGAGGGGGTCACGGAAAGGGCTGGTTTGCTAGCGGTCGGCTAGGCCGCCCCTGATAATTATCATGGCCGTCGGGGATCTACTGACCCGGGTCAATCCAAACCCGGGCCAGTCACGCCTTGCAAGATCCTGCAAAATCCTGCAGGATCCTGCGCCCAAGCCCGGTTACCCTGGCGCTGTAGGGCCCTGCAAGATCCAGCGCTTTGACTGACCCCCGCTCGCATTGGACCCCCGTCTCTTGCGCCCCGAAGCCGCACCCATCTCGACCTCCCGGCCGAGCCTCCCACCAGCCATCCTGAGGGAAGGCCCGCCCTCGCACACGGGGAGGGCAACACTCCCTCCGTCGGGGTGCGTGCGGCGGGGGGGAGGACAAAAGATAGGCGGCGCACCAGGGGGGGGGGGAAGCGAGAAGAGAAGGGGCGGACCTTCTCAGAAGGCTCGGGGGTCCCCCAGCCTTCCGAGATGTTCTCTAAGCTGTCCCCGAAACCACAACAAAACCTTCTCAAAGGCCCCAGGGCTTCTGAGAAGTCCCGCCGCCTCCTGAGAAGGCCTTCTCCTTCTCGCTTTCCCTCCTCGCTCGCCGCCGAGATAGATCATTACCGAGACCGTGGCTCCCGAGACCTCTCTGGGGAGACGTCCCGATCTCGGGGCGAAGTCTGGCCGTGGCGACGAGGGGAGAGCAAGCGGCATCGGTACTGTTGCTCCGCTTCTGTGCGCGTGGGGTGGCGACGAAGGGAGGGCAGGCGGCATCGGCACGTTTGGTATGCCCCGTGGCCCCCCCCCCCCCTCCCCCAAACTCCGACGTCGCGGTGTTGTTCGCAACGTGGATGCCCCAAAGGTCAGACACCTGCCTGGGGCTGGCGTTTATGGTCGGGGCACTTTTTTTTCACAGTGGCGTTCTCGATCTCTATGTGCAGAGGGGATGTTGGGCCATCACCTGAAAAAGAAGCTTAAAACATGGGTCCGCTTCCAAAGAAAAAAGACGCCCTTGAATTCCACGTCGTGTATGGAACGGACCGTTCATGAGGTTCAACCTGTCAGCAAGCTGGAAGCACGCGCGCGCACGCCCCAGTGGTTCCGGCAAGGAATGCGGCGCGTCCAACGGGCGGCGCGCGATCGTGATGGGTATTGGTTTGTCATTGGTTCACCAATGCGTTTCACCCAGGAACTGGACTTTCAACTGGTACGTTGCTGTTCAAACGTCGACATCTGATTTCTCCTACTTGCTTTCGCGATCCCAACGCCCCGTGTCGCACACCCCCCTTCGCAACCATTCCCCGTCCAAGACCCTGGCGAAATCTTACACGTTCCCTGGCACCATTTTTACCCCATACTTCAGGCGAGTGCTGGAAATCCATCCACAAACTTCTTGAACACATGTTCCAATCGTTTCTCGGAACCGCCCATGCGCTTGCGCACCGAATCGGATTTTTTTCAATGCTGGGCGACGGCCCAAAAGTGTCCAAAGCCGATGGTCGTGACTTTTCAAAGCAGCGAGAGGCAGAAGTAGATGCCCTTGCTCGGACAAAGCGGGAGAACTGGGGCAGGTGACAGGTGGCAGGCGGCGAAACAAAAAACACATAGGAAGTACAAGATGGAAGGCAAGAGGGGGTGCGCCAGGAAAAGGCGGCAGCGTTGCTCCATTCAGAACACCAGCCCAGCACAGGAGGGTTTGGAAAAAGGGTGTGGGCCTTCTCCGTGGCAATCCTGCCCCCCCATCAGTGGATCGGGAAACCCATGCCCCCTACATCGTGTTTTGTTCGCAACGGGAGCCCCCGGAAATCTGGGCCTCTTCCCCGGGGCTGGTTTTTCATCCCAACCGCTCTTCGATGGCCCCGAGGCGTGGCAACGGCCCCCCAAAATCTCAAAGTTGTCGCCGACAATATGTGGCTGCTCTCCTTGCTTGGATCGAAGGACACCCCGTTAGCGCGGCCGCATTCGTGCTGGCACGCGCCAAGATGCGGCAACAATTGTGCCGTCAGACGCAGAACTGCCGAGCAGCCTGAACACCCTGGAAGACAAACATTGCACCACACATTCCGTCGCGATCTTGCGCAAGATGAAGGAAGGGCAGAAATGCCACCCCACTTAGCTAAGCCGTTTAGTAAGCGCACCCAGGGAAGGAATCGAACAAGGCAGGGCCGTTTAGTTAACCCCCAGGAGCGTTCAGCAAACACATTTGGGTCGGAGTTTTTTCCTCTCGTGACACGACGCGCCAAGGCACGAATCAATCGTGTCGTCAACCCCACAAGACTGTCGAAACGCGCAAAGGAGCAGCATGGCGAGGCACCTCCCGTCGCGGCTTCGCTCACGACGCGAGGGATTCTGGGAGATGAGGAGGAAGAAGTGACGGAGGAGGAGACGGAGGAATCGGAGACGGAGCAGGAGGAAAAGGAGGAGGCGGGAGGAAGAGGAGGAGGCGGCGGAGGACGATGCGGACGCGGACGAGGACGAGCACGAAGGACGGGGCGGAGGCGGAGGACGAGGATGCGAACGAGGCTGGGAGCGGGGCGGCGGGGACCGAGAGGCGCGCTCGTCCCCCGTCCCCACGCGGCCCCGCCCTCCCCGCCGCGCCGGCGGGGCCCGGCCTCGGCCTGGGAGCCGGGGGGCTGCGTCCGCCTGCTCCTCGCGGCGACGCGCGCGGCGAGGCCGCCAAGGCGGGGCCAGGAGGAGGAGGAGGAGGAGGAGGAGGAGGAGGAGGAGGAGGAGGAGGAGGAGGAGGAGGCGAGCAGCCAAGGCGGGAGGAGGAGGAGGAGGAGACGGAGGAGGAGGAAGCGGACCACTACTGACATCTCAGAGAGCGAATCCATCGAAGTTGATCTCACGTCATTCTAGGAACGGCGTGCAGCCGAGAATTTGGGCCTCCAGCCCACCCAATCGGTTGCACAGTTCTCATAACCCCAATCAGCCGACCGCGGCACCCTGCAGCGCAGGAGAAAAGGGGAGGAAACCAGCGAGCGGCAAGCTAGCACAACACCATGCGAAAGGAGGAACCGAGGTCTGACGGCGTCTGGCCGGGTCCCCCTGCAGACCCCGTTGTCATTTCTTGCCCCAGAATGCCCATGCCTGCGGGGGCAGATATCGGCCCTTCCGCTTTCCATTCTCGGGCCGTACCAGGGGGGGTGAAGGACTAGAATGATCGTCTTGCCTTCTTCTCACCCTCTTCGCCACACGATTGGCCAAGAAGTACTCGAAAGCGTGGCACGCCTAGCATCCCTGCACTCCCGTTGTCGTCTTGTTGCTCGCAACGTGTTCCCCCGGGTATCTGGCCCCTCATCGAAGAGGCGACTATGCTTTAATCCTCTGGGACTTCTGAAGGCTTCTGTTCTTGTGTTTCCGTGTCGTCCTGCGGACTCTCTTGCGGCACGGGAGCTGATCTGTCTGGTTTGTCTTCTGAGGTGGTTCGTAGGTCTCTGGCCCCGGTCCCCCTTCCGTGCGGCCCTTCCGCGGGTCGCGCTGTCTAAGCGCACCAGTGCTTCGAGCTGCGTCCAGCCTTGGGCCCCCGTTGGCCAGAAGGTCCATGCTTTTCTTTGGCTGTCTTTCCCTCTGCGCTGGTTGGCTCCGCCTCCCTTCCACCGCTCTGCCCCCACGGCCCGTGGCCTGGCCTTGTCTGGTCGTGCCTTGACGTGGTGGCGTGCCGGTGCCGCGTGTGCTGTGCGTGCCTCGTGCCGTGTGTGGTCGTACGGATCGGGTGCCCCTGCTGTGCTCTGCCGCCCTGGATGACTCCTGGGGGCCGCTGCCTGGGACGTCGGGTGGGCGGGCGCTCCAGTGCCCCTCGCCGCGCCCTCTGCGTCCCGGACCGCCCGAGCCTCCCTCCCGTCCTCCCTCTCCCTCTTGCCTGCCTCTCGCCCGCCGTCCCCTCTTCCTGCCGTCTGCCGCGCCCTCCCCCCCCCCGCCCCCGCTTCCACTCCCTCCCCCACCAACCGGCGAGCCCCTGGCCGGCCTGGGCTGGGGCGGGTGGGGCGCGGCGTCGGCCGCGCTGACGCGGGCATGGGCCGCCCTCGTCGTATCCATCTGGGGCCCCACCCCCACGCTTCGGGATGAAAGAGTCCTTCTACACGGGGGCCGCACCCGGGGTCGCTTGGTGGGCGGGCGCTGCGGTGCAAGTATTTAACCATCGGAGATGCCTATTCAGACCGACGCGGTAGTCGTTGAACATGGCGCCGTCGCCACTACTATATTCGCAAACAACGTACTGGTCAGTAAACGGGCTTATGCCGAGTGATCGCAGTAGCAGCGATAGGTATCACAGTGAGGGGGCCGAACGGTCATTCACTGTCCTTGGGTGCGTGGCTGAAGTGGAATTCCGCGGTGCGGATTATCGTTGTTGTTGTTCGTTGTTGTTGTTTGTTGTCGTCGTCCCACCCGCAACCCGCCCCGCGACCCACCCGCGACCCAACCCGCGACCCACCCCGCGACCCACCCGCGACCCACCCGCGACCCACCCGCGACCCACCCCACGACCCACCCCGCGACCCACCCCGCGACACACCCCGCGACCCACCCCGCGACCCACCCCGCGACCCGCCCCGCGACCCACCCCGCGACACACCCCGCGACCCACCCCGCGACCCACCCCGCGACCCGCCCGCGGCCCACCCCGCGACCCACCCGCGACCCACCTTCGACCCAAACCACGTTCAAGGTACAAACCACCATTTTCGGCGCCTGCGGCGGGTTTTTTCTGCATTCCTTCCAAGTGGAGAGCCCGCGACCCCACCCGTGACCAACTCGCGACCAACTAGCGACCCAAACCACCTTCAGGGTACAAACCACATTTTTCGGCGCTTGCGGCGGGCATCTTTTGCATTCGTTTCAGGTGGAGAGCCCGCGGCCAACCTCCGACCACGCTCAGGGCACAAACCACATGTTTCGGCGCTTGCGGCAGGCATCTTTTGCATTCGTTCCCGGTGGAGAACCCGCGGCCCACCCGCGACCCAAACCATGTTCACTGTACAAACCCATGTTTGTTGGCGCCTGCGGCGAGCTGCTTTTGCATTCCTTCCAGGTGGAGGTGGGGAGCCCGCGGCCCACCCGCGACCCAAACGACGTTCACTGAACAAACCAATGCCGCACAAGCGCGGCGCCGGATTTTCGCATGCCGTCTGAACCCGCAGGGACCTCTTCACGCCCTGCGCATCCACACCAGCCCGTCCAGCAACTTTGCCCTGGCGAGGTGCCTTGATCAGAGAATTCGGGGAGCATAAAGTGGAAAAAAGGATTGCGTTGCAGCTATCTTGGGAAAGGAGGGGGAGGCAGGAGGAGTAAGCAGGGGACGAAGAGGCGCGGAAGAAGAGAGGATGTAAGGAGAATGTGGGGAAACAATAGGAGGAGGAGCAGGAGGGCGAGGAGGGGGAGGAGGGGGAGGAGGAGGACGAGGGGGGGAGGAGGGGGATGATGATGATGATGGACGACAATGAGAGGACGATGGTGGAGGCCGATGAGGGGGAGGACGACAATTGGAGGACGATGATGAAAGGACGAGGAGTGGAGAGGGAGGACGAGGAAGAAGAGGAGGAGGACGAGGTGGAGGAGGAGGAGGACGACGATGACGATGACGATGAAGACGAGGAAGAGGAGGAGGAGGAGGAGGAGGAGGAGGAGGAGGAGAGCGCCATCGACAGGGAAGGTGGGGGACACGAGGGCCGCCGGCTCGACGACGCCCGCGTCGCCCGCGCCCGCCCCCTCACTCTTATCCGCAATTGCGGGGTGCTACGTATCCATACCGCCCACTGTCTTGACACGTCGGAATCACCGACTGACAAACCCGACCAGTGCTGGGCGCACGCTAACGTGGAGTACGGGCCCGTGGATCGGGGAACGCGCCGCCAGAAACGTGAGGCTACCGCCGCTGATTTGGCGACGGAGCGCGTCGATCCTGTATGGAAGCGGGACCTGTCGCTAATCCGCGCGACTTCATCCATGTTTGCGCTTCCTCGAGACCGGTGCCGAAGACAAGGCCTGCGCTCCCGCAAGGCGCCTGCACTAGCCCACCGGACTGTGCGCGACATCCCATCGACGCTGGAAACGAACAAAAACGTCTTGTGGCGGAAACATGGACCAGAGGAGAAGGCGGCAGCTGGAAACTCGTGGGAACATCCTCTGGCAACGCAGGCTGGAAAACAAACCAAAAACAGCCCTGGGCGCTTCCAACAACCACCGAGCCGACCAGCCGAAGACTCGGGGATGGACAGACCCCCCTTTAGCAAAACGTGGTTTAGTGAAAACGGCCTGAGGCCCAAACCTGGCGGGCACAAACCTGGAAAATAACGGCCACGACGCCATCTCGAGAGCCGAAAACGGACAATTCACTAATCGACGTGTCACTGTTGGGGGTTCTGTCCACCCCCGAAAGACGAGGCCCGCGCCCCCCCTCTGGGCGCCTGCGCGAGCCCGCCGAGCTGCGCGCGACCTGGCAGCGCCGGCGCGCGGGGCCCACCGTCGTCGCGTCTCTGCGTTGCCGGTGCCGCGGCCGCCCAGCGGCAGTGGGCAGGGGCAGGGAGGGCCGACGAGACAAAGCAGGGAAGGAACGAGTAGGAGCCGCAAGCACGTGCAACAAGGCACGCGGGACTTCCCCCGCAAATCAGCGCACATCTGCTATGGAGTGTCTCGTGTCCGCGAACCCGCCCCGAGTACTGCCAACTGGACCGTGGTAGGGTAGGGAAAAACTGCACGAAAACAAACTGTCTGCGGATTTCTTGGATCTGCGCTGGACCCCCCTCCTTGGCGCGCGGAGCGCGCGAGGGGCGGCGCTGGAGGCGCCGCCAGGGGTTCCCAGCGCAGATCCAAGAAATCCGCGCGGAACTCCGAACATGTATGTTTATGCAGTGTCTGGTTCTTCGATGTTGGTGATGGCAACTGTGAACACAATTTCACAATCATGTACGATCATGTTCCTGACCCCGAACGGGTCCCAGAGGAAAGATTTGGTGGCAACTCATGGGAGGCTCCCGTGCAATCTGGTTGGCTATTCCGACTCGACGCTAATCGACGCGAATCAAAACTACCTTTTCGCATCCGAAAACGGAATGACGGGGGTACACGAGGCTCCCATGATTTGCTACCGAACTCACCCTCCTCGGAAACTCGTTGGGCGGCTCGGCCACAGCAGGCCGCGAGAGGCTTCCTGGGACGCCGCCCGAGCACGCCTCGCGCCCCGCTGAGACGAGCCCGCGGTTCGTCCCGGCCCTCCTGCCGAGGCCCGCACACCACAGAGAATAGGCAGATCCTTCTCGAGCGACGACCGTCGTTACATATCCATATATGTGCCCTCGTGGCCTGGATCTGTGTGCGACATAGAATCAATGTGTTGCTGAACAGTAAAAACATACAGACATTTTTTGGCGCTCCGCGCGGATTTCTTGGATCTGCGCTTGACCCCCCTCCCTGGCGCGCTCCGCGCGCCAGGGTCGGCGCCCGAGGCGCCGCCAGGGAGGCCCAGCGCGGATCCAAGACATCCGAGCGGAGTGCCAAAAGTTTATGTTTATGCCTTTTTTTCGTCTCCGATGACACCGATCCCGCGGATGCACGACCTCATAGACACGCTCCCGTGGGGCAGCCGCGCAAAGACAACGACGGAGCGCGCGCGCATCCAATTGGGCCGCGGTCGGACCATCTCGGCCGCGAGGGCACGGAAGCGGACTTGTGCTGCCGCTCGTAACCGTTCTGATGCCACTGCCAGCGCCCCCCAACGCCGAAGGTCCTGTTGCATCTTCGGGAGGGCCTTGTCTTTCCCGTCACGCCCCGATCCGCATCGAGTCCGTGTCGAGTCCATGCCGGACTCGTCAAGTCCGCGCAAAATCCACACCAAATCCGCGCCGAGTCCGCAATGAGCCCGCCGCGGGCACAAGACAAACACGAACTGCTGGAGAAGATGCAACGTAACGAAGTTCCGCTCAGAGGCAGAAGGTAGCGGAAGAGGAGGAGGAGGGAGGGAGGGAGGGAATGAGGGGGGGAGGGAGGGAGGGAGGGAAGAGGAGGAGGAAGAGGAGGGGGAGGAGGAACGCGAACCCGCCCAGCGCCTCATCGGCACGACCACCTCCTTCGCCGTCCTTCTCATCCTCACGAGATCGGGCGGGGTGGGGGGTGGCACGCCACGCGGGGAGCCGTCGGTCAGAAGCCGACCTGGCACCTGGCAGACCCTCCAGCCGTCCTGGCCGTGACCGTGACCTTGACCTTGACCGAGCCCCGCCCGCCCTGGGTCGCGGCATCCTCGTGCCACCGCTCGGACGTCCACCTCCTCGTGCGCGTACCTTATAGGAGAACGACACATGACATGAACAGAAAAACTCCGAGGTCCGCGCGGATTTCTTGGATCCGCGCTGGACCTCCCTCCCTGGCGCGCGGAGCGCGCGCCAGGAGGCCCCAGCGCCGATCTGAGAAATCCGCGCGGACCTCCGAGATTGTATGTTTATGTCATTGTTCGTTGCCCTATATTTGCTGGCCAGATATCCGAGATGCTCCTCACGTGGTCCCCGCCGAGAATAAAAATACACACGTCCGAGCGATGCCAACTCATCCCAGGCAGCGAGATGGGGCGGAAGGGCGGCGCGCAGAAGGCGGGCGGCGACGAGAAGCGCGACCTTCGAAAGCAAGCCCCGGAGGAGTGCCGGGAACCCCGGGAGGCCTCGGGAGAACCTCCCGGGAAGCCCCGGGGGGGCCTCCACCCCCTTGCAGAGGGGACCCCCTGCCTGCTCGGCTGCCTCCCCCTCACCCGCGCGCCGCCAAGGAGGCCGGGCAGAAACTCGAGGCGGGGGAGAGTAAGAGGGCGAACTCGGGGGAAAAGTGAAGGGGGGAACCATCGGGGGGGACTGGCTCAGGGGGCGGGGGGGGGGGATATTGAGCTGGAGCCGGCCCCGGCGATGCATCGACGACAAATCGGAGACAAGCCCCGATTGCGAATCCGCATGTTCCTGGGCGGGATGTCGGCGACCAATGGGCGGTCGGGGGGCAGCGTTCCCCCTCCCATAAGCCCCACCGCCAAACAAATCGAATCTGGCGACCTCGGGAGGGGGGGTGCGGAGGCAGGCTGCGCAGGAAAAGGGGGCAGGACAACATCGAGCCTGCAGGTCGACCAACTTAGCGCCTCGCGCCCCGCGACGCGCGAGTCTTCCTCCCGCCCTCGCGCCCCCCCGCCAAGCATTTGAGAACGGCAGCCGCTTTGGCCCAGACAGCGACACGCGAAGCACGATTCTCTTCGCGCACCCGGGGGTGGCCTAGAAAGGCTGCGTGACTGCCCGTGTTGGCCATGTATCATGAGCCACGTCCACATCGTAAAACGGGGGGGGGGCTGGGAAGGGGCGTGCCCTTCCCTGAGAAAAACTATGTCCCGAAATGTAGCCGCCGCGGTCACCGCGGCGACGTCGGGGCGTCCGCGGGCGCGCGCGCGACGCGGCGCGGCGCGAGCAAGCGGCGAGAGGGAGCGCGGCGGGGCGCCTCGTCGGCCGCCTCGGGCGTGGGCGGGGGGGGCGGGGGACGGGAGCCGTCCATGGACCCACAGCCCGCCAGTCGGAAGGGACTGGGGGAAACATGAAGTAGGACAACTTCTAAGAGCACATTGGTATCCGGCCAGCCGGCGCAATGAAAAAACACAGCGCACGCACGCACATACACACAAACACACACACACACACACATATATATATATATATATATATATATATATACACACCTAAAACCCAAAAAAAACATCTGAATGTTTTGGGATCGTGGTTTCCGAACGCACCTACGTTCAACGGGCCGCGTGCATGAGGAAACGTATGGAGGCCTCGCGCGGCAATTTCACACCCAAAGTCCTGTCGGATCCAGGTCGGTACTACGTCCGAACATCGCCTGGCTGGCAGATGTCGACCCTTATGTAAGGACGGACGCGTTGACCAGATGATACAACAGTTTGCAAATACACCGCGGATCCAGGCATAACGTTGCTGGGATTCATATGTTATTGAAGATAGTGATCGACACGTTCATGTGGACCTGGTGTTAGGATCGATCTCGCATCACCACGCGGAGATGACGTACTTGCCGCCATTGCTGAAATAGGTCTGGCAAAAAAATACGTAAATGCGCATAGTGCAGCCGGTCGAGAAAAGGGAGTCCGGCCGCGCGCGCACGCACCTTTCACTTGACAGAAAAATATGCGGATCGGTCTTGCTCCGTAGACCCTGCCATACCTCATTTGGAGGGAAGTGGCAGGGGTGGAAAAGATAGCCAGACGAGCGTTAGTCATTGCCCCCCCCCCCCCCGCGGCCCCCCGGCGCGGCATTGCCGCGCGCGGGTGGTCGTCAACTGTTGCGAACGCCCCGAACTGTGATGGGCCGCGCCAACTGGCTTGCAGCACTCCCCGACGGCTTAGGTCAGACTATTCCCTCTCCCCCTTAAGGACACATCGGCCCCCGCCGGCGCAAATCGCGAGCGCATTTTACAGCGCCAAGGAAGGGGGATGGGGAACTCCTGACAAGGCTCTGCGGGACAAGCTGTAAACTGGCCGACGAGCCCCGCGCAGTTAGTTAGACCGCGCAGGCGCCCGCCGCCCAGCGTTCGGCCCATGGGGCCCACGGCCCGCCGCCGCGCCTCGGCGCGACAGCGCGCTCAGAGCGCACCTCCCATGCGTTCAGGAAAGCGCTCGAAACGGCCCCTGTTCAATCTCCATGTTTCCACCAGCCCCGATCATCGCGCCACTGGTCGTCTCGGCCCTGGCCGCTGTTCAAGCCCTGCCAGCTGCTGGGGCCCCGTCCCGAGCTGCGCGACGTCCGCTGGGCTCGCGAATCAGAGCGCCACGGAATGCGCGGGTTTTCACCTCCTTCGCGGCCCTCTAGCGAACGACCGCGCACTGGCACTTGGCCGCGGCGGGGCCAGGGCCGGATCTGGGCGAGGCTGTCTCGCGCGGAGCCTGGAACGGAGGTCTGTCTCGCAGCTCCCAGCGTTGGCTGCGCGTCGCGGCGACGAAGCGCAGCCCGTCGATCTCGCGGCCCCCGGCCCCCGCGGCGCATCAAGCGTTCGTTTTAAAATCAGCCGTGCCCCGCGCCCCCAGTCGACGCGCTCCCGGCGACGGGCCCGTCCCTGAGCGGGACAGAACGCGGGCGCTTGCAGTCCTGCTTTCCCTGAACGCCTGAGTCTGCAGCGCCGACGACGCAGCCGGCAGTGACGGGCCCCCCTTAATTCTTCGGCCTCCGCGGAGCCAATGTCCTCCAGCGGCCCCCAGCCATCCAACATCTCCACCTCCATGTCGCCCGTGGAGTCAGAGAGCTGCGGGGGCTTCTCCAGGCAATCCTGCATGGCGGGCCGCTGCGCCCAGCCGGTCGACTGCTCGCCAGCGCCAACGTCGGGCCGGCGCACATAGCCCCAACCAGATGGGTCGAGAAAACACGTCATGCTCCTGCAGGGCGCTCCCCCCGCTGACGCACGGCCACCGAGCGCGCGAATGCGCGGGCGCCTCAGGACCAATCGCAGGGACACCGACGCACGATTGGCATTTGATCCACCAGCGTTTGCCCAATTTCCGCGCCTCCTTCTGCTGCCGGACGCCCATCTCTGCGGGCGTCGCGTCGTCGCGCGACGTGGGGCGCCAGGCGGGAACAGTCGTGGGATTGCGCTGAAAGGCAGTATTGTCCTGCAGGGCTGGGCGGCGGCGATAATGCGCACCCTCTACTTTGGGTAGACGCCGCTTGTTCTCAATCTTCTCAACTCCTCGGTCAGCGGCCCGACCCTGCGCGGAAAACTGCGCAGCCCCCGCCTGCGCGGGGCCAGGGGGGCAGCCCTCGGCCACCTGGTCAATGATCCCGCGCGGCGCCTTGTTGAACACAATATGATGCCACGGTCGCGCCGGCAGCGCCATGCGGGGGGGCCCGATTTCCGGGTGGGCGAAGATGGGCCCCTGGCAGCGAAGGCAATGGAGCCTGCCAAAGCGGTTCCTGCACGCATTCGAACAGATAAACTATCCGGCGGGGTTGCAGGAGCTCGGCCTTGCACCCTGTCGGCGCGACGACGTCCTCGTTAATTGTCGCCTATCCGACGGAAAAAACCTCGCGGTGCCGCGCGCAGGTCGACGCGCCCAGTCAAGGGTGGCGGGTTGGACTTGACACCGCGGGACCCGCGGTCGAACGCCGCGTCTCACGACGCAGCCGGGGCCATGACACCGGCGACGGTGACTCGGGGGATCTGATGCACATCGCTCCAATGCGGCCTGGGCTCTGCGGCCGAAGCGCCACCGAGAAGGGCCCATAAGTCAACGTTGTTGAAAATCCACGAAGAAAGCGTCGCGATGGATTAGCCGGACAATCCGCGTGAATCGTCGCCATTGAAGACGCTAGCATAGAGGCCCTGCGCGGCGTAGTCTCTCGACCATCCATCCGGGCGCAGCTGGCGCGGGCATTGATCGGGGCGGGCGCCGCGCCATCGAGAGGGGCCCGACGGATCATGACAACTACTCCGTCGGCCGCGAGTTCCCCGGCGCCGACGACGCAGGCGTCGGAGGGCCTGGAGCTGGCCAGTTGCGCGGGGCGCGGGGAAGACAACCAGAAGCTTGCATCGCCTTGCCCTGCTGATCTCTCTCTCCGTGGCAATCGCCCGCCTGGCCGTGGACTGTTGGGCGGAATCGACATCAAAACGGGGCGACAATGGCCGCGTGCTCGCACCTGTCTGTGGATTCGCACTTGAAATAGAATCACTCGGGCCGCGTCGCTCGCGCGGAGTGGCCTCGGCAGGCTCGAAACAGCGGCGGCTTCATCGCGGGTCGCTCAATGTCAAGTGTCGTGACCGTCGATGACGCAGTCGCCAAGCGGTCGCCCGCGCCCGAAGTTCGCGCCCCAATTGGGCGGCACGGCAACGGCCCCCCATCGTCGTCGACGATCTTGTCACCGAGGACGCGGACAGCGCCATCAAACAATGTGGCGAGGGCGCGAAAGAGGCGCGTCCGAAGCCAGTCATGCCACTCTCCTTCGACCAATGCGACAACGAGCGTCGCCTCCGACCATCCCCCAGAGCAGGGGGCGTCAGCCGCGCTGCGCATCGCCATCTCGACGATCAGCGAGGTCATGCGCTCGGCCTCTTCCCCCGCGGCGCCGCTGCGCCGCGCGCGCGCGTCGGTCGCCCCGCGGGGAGATCGGGGCCGCCGTGTGGGCAGCAGCGCTAGGCAGCCCCTGGGCCTCGGTTGCTCGCGTTAAATCGCGAGCGGAGGGGCAGGTGGGCGAACTCGCGCTGCTCCCCAGTCATTTGTCGTCATTCTTCCAACGACGCGTCGCCGGCGAAGGTCTTCACAGCCGCGAGCGGCCGATCCTGGGGGGGCCCCATGCGCCCCCCTCTGCTTTGGAGTCCCGAAACGGTGCAGTGACAGACCGTGCGGTGACCTCGAAATCCCCCAAGACCTCACCGCACGGTCCGTCACCGCACGGTTTTGGGACCTCGGAGGCCCCAATCGCCCGAGACATCCTCGGAGAACGACCCGAGTCCCAAAACCGTGCGGCGACCCCGAATCCCCACCGACTCACCGCACGGTGTGGTCACCACCCCGTTTGGGGGCCCCCGATCTGCGCAGGCAAGGCTGCGCCCTGCGACGTGCGATGCCGGAGGCAAATCCCTGGAGGCCCATGTCCTCATCTTCCGTCGCAAGCAGACGAGGGCCGCGCACGCGCCGCCCTTCGCGTTGTACTGCGCGGTGAGCTGCCTTCCCGTTCTCCCTCGCCGAGCGCGTCAGCTCTCCTTGAGACTGGGCGGCCCCCGGGCGGAGTCGGCGTTCCAGGGGGCCGAAACGCGTCTGGCCGAAGGCTCGACGTAGCGCGTCGGCGAGGACATCAAGAGCTCGGTCTGGCAATGGCGACTGCAGGCGGCCCACCGCCATATCGCGCGAAGAAACTCACCCGCTAAAAAAACAAACGACAACATGTCGATGCCCAATCCAGCGAACGCCCCACCCGCGCACCCCCGCCCCCCCAAAAACACACACACACACACACACACAAATAAATCTGCATGCCCAAACCTGCGAAAATTTCAAACTCTAAAAAACCCACGACTAATCTTCAAACCCAAACGCACGAAAATCTCTAACCCAAAACAAAATTCCAAAACACCTCGCAGTCAAACCCAGGGGAAATCTCAAACGCACCCAGAAACTTCAACGCATTGTTGATCAAGAGCCCGGGCGAACCTCAAACTCTTAAGAAAAAGCTGGGGGCAAAACAACCTAGCCGACATGTGGAAAACCTTCAAGACCAATATAATCTTGAAGTCGAAACTTTAAACAGACTCTGGAAACATACAACTCTGGAAAGAAACCTCGGACGCACAGCAAACTCGGCCAGTATGAACGTATCAAAAATGGTCAAACTCAACGCAACTCCAACGCAATCTCTGGCCGCCTGAAAAACTCAACAAAGAACTATGGAGCACCAAACTATCATTAAATTGATGAACAGAAGGCGGCACCGGGCACTTTTGTAGCGACAACAAAGCGGCACTAATAAACATGAGAAAATTCATGCGCGCAGGTGGTTTGCCAACTTCTCTGCTCCATGCGTTTGTTTCTCTGGAGTTTCGGTGTGATTTCTGGGCAGTATGAAATATTCCGAGGGTTTGGCATTGACATTCTGCAACAAGTTCTGGAGGTTTGAATCTTCCAGGTGTTGGTTGAGAATTGCGTTCGGGATGTTTTGGGGTTTGAGCGTCCTGTTGAAGACATTCAAACTATTACGGCAAGTTATCTCGGTAGACCTCCTGCATTATCATTGCCAGACTTAAGTCGAAAGGGACAGGATCTGGAGAAAGGTGACCCAACTCTCCTTCCACTCCGTTGGCGTGGCGCAGGACGAGCCCGGGGCGCAGCGGCGCAGACGTCGCGGCCCGCGTCTGCCCTCGCCTCCTCCACCTGCACTTCCTCGCCCGGGCCCCCCGGGGCTTCCGCCGCCCCATCCCCCTCGGAACAAAAACTCGGACTCGTCGAGCTCGCCTCCTGAAGCGGGCACCGCCGCGCAGAGGCGCCGGCGGGCGACTCTCGCCATCTTCGACGGGCCCCGCGAGTCGGTCGGGCACCGCCGCGGGCGGGCCCGCAGAACTCATGTCTGGCTGGTCGGGGCCCCAATCTGGGCCCACACTGCTCTCGGATCGAGCTAGACGGGTCGCAACGCGGCCGCAGTTCCTCCTCCTCTCCCTCATCCGGGACGCCCGCGGAACAATGGAGCATGGGTGCATGTCGTCGAACTCGTCTTCCTGATCCGTCTCCGCGCTCGTCGCTCTTATCCTCCTTGTCGGTTCCAGGCTGACATATTTGGCGTCGAGTTGCTCGTCGACGCGCCCCCCGGCACCGCGTCTCATGGAGCGCCCGCTGCTGTCCGACGACGATGGCGCTAGCGCCGTTCATGGCAGCGTTCGCCCAGTGGCTGAAAATCCGTTGTCGACGGGTGCACGCGTCAATGTGCAGGGCTGTAGACGCAGTGCAACTGCGGCGCGCGGGAAACGGGGGGAAGTGCGCGACCTGTGCCACGTCGTAAGTTGCCGTCGTGCAGTAGCGGTCCAAGCGGAGGCGCACGTAAACCTGCTGCGTGCACGACGCGACGCAGAACGCGAGCGCCGCGCGCGCCCCGTTGTCCGCACCCCGTAGGTCACGAAGAACAGCGTCGGACATCGGCGCGGGCCCATGGGTGGGAGAATTTGCCAGCGGGTCCGAAGGTTGCACGTCGGGAGGGGCCCCACCAACGAGACGAATGGTGAATTCTCCTTGAGATGATAGCTCGGCTGGAAACCTGCCTGTCCAAAGTTACCCCATGAATTGCGCCCGGACATCAGTGCGCGGCGGAAATGCGTCGCCATCTCGCGAAGCTGTTCGTCTCCGGGCGCTTGGCGCAATCGGCTAAAACTCATGGCGCGCATCCCCTTTTTGCCGTGTCCTTGTCTTTCGGGGGGCGTCAGCGGCGCGGCCGCCGGGCGCTTCCACGTCTTGCTCCTCCTCGCCCTTCGATTGCTCTGTTGCTGCATGTTCCATCGTGGCCGGGTCGGCAAGTCTGTGCGTCGCGAAGTCGTCTTGCGTGCGTCGAAACCATCGCGTGTCGGGCTCAGCTCCTGTCGGCGTCAATACCCTCAGGCCTATGCCACCCAAGCTCGCGACGCTGCGCAAGCTGGTCCTCCGCCCCATCGACATGGCACGGCCGATAGAAGGACTCCGTCTCGAGCCGCTCGGACCAGTGGGACAAGCAAATCCAAAACTACAAATCAAATTCGTCCTGGCATATTCTCGCGGCATAGCTACCAACAGTTCGCGATCCGAGGAGATCTGGGCAATGAGAGCCCGCTGGCGTTCGCTGCGCCCGCGCCTCCAAACATGACGCAAGTCGCGTTCCTTCTCCTCGGGCGCGCGGTCACAAACCTCACGACCCTCCACCATTTCTCTGATTCCCCGCCTCAGAGGCTGTTCTGTTTTCCGAAGGTCATCCGCCCCTCCCGGAACGGGCCAAGAGGGCAGGATCCAAGACCAACCGATAGTCGAGGTCGAAACCTGCCCACATGGAGAAGGCAGGGTGGAACTTCTCAGCGATTTGGCGCTGGTCTGCTGCGGTGTGGCGAATCAGAGACGGAGAGCGATTCGAACGATGTTCGAGAGACGACAACACTATTGTCTGCGCCCCCCCGGGCTCAAGCGAACGGCCACAAAGCCGTCGCGCGTGGTCTAAAGCGTTGGAACTAGCAGCTGGAAGTCACGCGTGACCTCATGGCCGTCCGAAAACATTCCCCCTCGACATGCGCGCGCGGCCGACGGGCGCGAATGGCCCGCGTGGTACTATTTGGCAGGGATCGTACCCCCCCCCCCCAGCACGCGCGCAAACGCGTTCGAATGATTCCAACATG